TAGCTTGGGATCTCATGGGCACAGGCAAATACGCAGAAGACCTGCAAACAATCAAAATCATCTGGAGGAAGCGGGTCGGCCGGTACGCGCTTGTTCCAGGGTAGACTTGCCAGTGATAGCCTGGCGTGTAGCCTAAAAAGGGAAAAGAGGCCTCAGACCACCAGGTCACCGTCGCATGAAGCCTGTCAGACAGTCTGCTCATGTTGATGCAGGCCACCAAGGCGTACACAAAGGCACGGTGCAAGATTAGGGTTTGGGGCTCAGGACTTAGGCTTTAGGGGTGCGGGCTATTTTTTAATGTTTGGGTTCAGGGGCGGGATTTGAACCCCATGGCTTAACAGGAGTATTTGGGGATACTAGCCCACTAGTGGAAAACAAAGTAGAAAAGAGCGTAGAACATGAAATGGACGTCGGTGTTCTTTAGTTGTTTAGAGGATTGATATTCAAACTCATGCATGACCTCAGTGCGTTATCAGTCAATGGAATCCCGCGGTATATGGTACATAGGGCCACGCGGAAAATTAGGATTGACCTAGATTACCGGATTTCGGGGCTTCTAACAATGAGCTGGGGACCGGTATCATTGAGAACCCCGCATTTGTACGCCACTATAGCTCATATAAGGATCATTAGAGGCATGTAGGGGGTTGTATCAGGATTCTTGCAGGCGTATAGGGTCTTACAGAGGGATTGCGTTTGTCCTATTTCAGGGAAATCTGTAACTATTTCAAACTTAGGACTGCTCAATGTTCTTTACGCTCTTTGCCAACTGCAGCCCACGGGCGTGTGAAGAACAACTGTGAAAGATCATCACACTTAGCTGACTGCGGGGCCCCCTCAAAGTTAAACCTGTAGTCTCCTGACTATAATATACCTCAGGAGGACCCCCCCCACCCTGTAATAGTAGTATAATAGGAATATACGGGACCCTAAGATAATCCTCATTATCCTTATCCCCTATAGTCAAAAATTATTGGTAGGGGACCCTAAACCCTAAACCCCCAAATATACCTCAAACCCCAACCCCCCCCCAAAAGGAAACCCGAAAAGTTCTGAGAAGTTAATCTCCTCAGAGCCAACCTCAAGGCAGCCAAAAAAAAACTTATGGGTGCTGAAAGGAGAGCGTGGGAGTGCATTCCTAGAATTATGAGGGTTTTGGGGTTTAGGGTTCCGAGGTTTAGGGATTAGGGTTCAGGGTTTAGAGTTCCAAGGTTTAGGGGTTTAGGGGTTTATTGTTCCGAGGTTTAGGGATTAGGGGTTTAGGGGTTTAGTGGAATTCTCAGGGATCAAGGGAACTATCAGGTTTTAGGGGATTGAGAGTTTAGGCCTTTGGGTTATCCCTAGGGTAGATACTAAAAGTCTTGCGTGACTTTCGGAACCCTGAACCTGGGGAATTATGGTATTGATTATGGTAGTTTCGGAACCCACTTTGTCCCGAGCAAGATGGGGTCATGAAGACAAATTCCCTGGCGCATGATAGGCCATGAGGAATTGAATATTGTAGCAGTCCCTATGAAACCGTCCAGAATTTCCAATAGACAGCTATAGCCCAATCCCCCATTCCGTACAAAATGACAGGGAGCTTGGGTTTAGGTGAGCTTTTGTCTTGACTCCTGGTATCCCCCTTAATAACCCCTACTGTAGTCCCCTAGATAATCCCCCATATCCCCTCTATAGGGAGTTTGAACTAGGTGAGAATTTGGGCTTGTGACCTGCGGTCGGTTTGGTTTACTGACGCTTGAGGTCGAGTGGGAAAGGGCATCAAACTATTGTTGGGTTTAGGGCTTATGATTTGGGGCACTTCAGGGAGCGGGGGAGCGAATATACATTCTACAGTCATCACTAAAGCTCCTGCATGACCTTAGTACACCGAACTTAAGCCGAACCTGAAGTTTCAAGGCTATCCTAGGCACATCCCAACAGTTGCACCCAAAACGCGCGGACTTCTCGTGTGACTCCGGAATAAGGCGCACCTTTTTGGTAAATTCCCATTCGAAAGCCCGAAGCCAAACTGCAGTTGCACATGTCTCGCTGTCCTTCCGTGCTCTCACTTCATCTTCTGCATCCTTCCTGCAGATTGGCGAATTCAGATCAATCGTTGGATGAGGGTACGTAAGCCAGCTGCAAACTTGCTTAGATTCTGGTTATCTGCTTGAGGGGCTTTAGGGTTAAAGCTATAGGGCTATATAGGATGTAACATCGAAATACCATACAGAGTATCCGAAAATGAAATTTGCCAAAGATCGGGGAACAATCTTACAGTTGTGTCAGGCTTCGGCTGTTAGCGTTTGAGGACCAGTACGTAGAGCAAGAGACACGGGTTCTTGTTTCATACTCATGTCCAGTGGAAGGACCTAGTACCCCCCACCATACTGCAATTATTGGGATGTAGGCGCTGAAGGGTATATTTGGTGAGTGCGAGATGTCCTCCATCCACAGTTAGCACGGAAGAAACCAAGTGCTTAGCCCCCAAAAACATTCCTGGCCTCTGAGGTTGTGTTGCCTTGTCGCCTGCTTTGCAACATGAGCTACGTGGGGGATCTCCATAAATGTAGGTAAGTGCTGGAAACCTCCAAACCTTAAAACCCTGAGCCGCAAGACGGCAGCGTTTTATTGAGCAGTCTAGCCGGTGAAAACATCCACTCATCACGTTTGCAACACTCCTAACAGCACCAAGCAACGGCAATTTGTAAAACTTGCAAAGCCGTGCTCCAGCCCTCCCGCGAAAGATCCTTACACCAAAGTCCGAAGCCCCATCCTCGTAACCCCCTAGAACCAACATGGAAGCCTAAAAGGAACTGAAACAGACGACTGTCCCTTAAAAACCGCGCTATACGAGTTCCATGATAAATCGAATTGGGGGAGGGTACCGTATACACACCCAACATAACCATACGGAAGAACCAGTGATGGCTGTCTGGTGAATCTAAAGGATGACGCGCACTGCCGGGTGCCAAAAGCTTCTCCCTTTTGCTGCCAGCGCTGTCTCACAACGTCATTGCTTCAAGCGGCGTCCACCGTGCAAAGGAGAGGGGTCTCCCTGAACTGGCCTTTGGTTAGCTAGGAATGAAGGAATGGATCCTTATAGTCGTCCCTATATAAACCATTATAGTAGTTTCCATTTTCTTGTCCATTCCCAGTTAACCATTCCCAGTTAACCCAAAGCCAGTGAAGGCGAGGGTTCCTGAAGCGGCCAAAGTGGAACGGCGCCGGCTTCCATGAAAGCTCTCAAGCTCAAATGTCTGGACCTGAAATTCAAGGGTTTACACATACTGCTGATCCAACACCCGTGTTCCCCCCTGATACTGAGCAAATATCCCTAGAATCCCTCTAAGACTTGACCATGACAAAGCCATGAAGCGCCATCCCCCGAAGCCAAAGCCTATCCCCTAACCGTTGCAACACCCAGACCCCTGCATCTCTGAGCCCCGAACCCTACGGTGGATGGAGGAAATCTTGCACCTCCCTTTATCCACTAAGCATTACAAACTAGGGTTATACATGTATATACATACATATACATATGTATATACATATACAGTATATTGGGGTTACATAAGGAAAATGGAAAAGAAAATGGAAACTATTATAATGGGTTCTAAATGTATCGAACATCCCCAGGAATCCACCAATTCCCTAAACTCCAAACCCAAAATCCTGAAGCGCAGGCACCGGGCCTCCGTGTTGGCAGCAGTTAGTAAGGCCATGTTCCAGGCGGGCCCCACTGAGCCGGGCAAAGCAGCCCTGATGCTTGCACAGCCTGCGTTCAGGGCGCCTCAGTGTGGGGTTGCCTCGCGGCAGCTTTCGGCCGTGTTCGGCGCAGGTGCTCAGGCCGGCCGCGGCCCTTGCACTGCTCACCTTTTTCGCACAGCCCCGCCGCGAGCACGTGCGGCCCATGGCGCAACAAGTCACGTGGAATTCGGCTCGAGCCGCATATATACCCGGGCGGGGCCGACACTGCCATGCGCAGCGCCGTCGGGAAAA